GGGGGGGGCGAGAGACGCCTCGACCTACAACCCAAACCCCAACTAACCCTAGGTATACACATCGGAACGGCAATTCAGTGCATGCATCATACCCCATCATACGAGTTTCGTGACGACAAAAGACAGACAACAGAGCTGAAACGCTTGGCGGCAAGGGCGGCGACGCCGATTCGCGCGGTGGGCAGGCAAACACAGAAACAACCGATTTCACCCCGAAACAAAACATGAAAAAAAAAAAACACTCACGACCACTTGTAAAAAGACAACGGGTGTTGCTCTCAAGAAAAAAAAGAGTAAACGACAAGCGCAATGCGTGCAAGACGATTCCAAAATCGACAAACTAACTACGGCGACCGAGGTCAAGACACACGCCCGGGTCATGATGGACACAGAAAAGACGACGATGCCCAGAACAAGTGATGATGAGAGATCCACGGAAAACTCTTGTCAACCCCCCAGCAATAACTATTTGGACGAACCCCAAAGGACGGGCAAAAGGCAGGAGGCCGTCGTCCCATTCGACGACTATATTAATACGAAGCGATACCAACAACTTTCATGAGACACGAAAAGACAGGAATGCGAACACAGCAGTCAGTCAGTGTCAACCCCCCAGCAATAACTATTTCGACGAACCCCAAAGGACGGGCAAAAGGCAGGAGGCCGTCGTCCCATTCGACGACTATATTAATACGAAGCGATACCAACAACTTTCATGAGACACGAAAAGACAGGAATGCGAACACAGCAGTCAGTCAGTGTGGCATGTAGGGAATCCAGACAAGGTAGAACACACATGCCCCGAGCAAGCAAGCAAGCTTGCCGCCGCCTATGGTACCATTCTTGTTTGGCGGTACCGTGTCGCCGGCGCGATCGCGAGCGTGCACACCACGACGACGACGACGCAAAGGAAACACACCACTGCACAAGAGCAAAAGAAAACCTTGCTTCAAATCAGTCAGCGAAAAGGGCTCTGTAGCCACGTCAAAGACGTGCGTGTCGGCAAGCTCCGGCATAAAAACTTAACACACCTTCGCAACAGCAAGCGCGGGAAAAAGCGTGTACATGTAGCGGGTGCTTCCCTTCTCGTGTCAACCCCCACGCACAAGCTACACGACTATGATATGTACGTTCTTCTGTACGTGCGTAAAGACGGTACGCCCACAACCGCAGCCAGCTACAGCGCGTGTGCCATCCCATACGACACGGGGGACCGACCCCGCCAGCTACATGCCTCTATCCCGGCGTGGCACGCTGAGTACAAGAATCGGGGACTACCACCACTCTACGTCCAGCGGCTCGTGTTTCCGCGAGATCACGTCGGGAGATACAAGTGCCAGCCAAGGGAGAGAGGGTTGACCGCTGTCACACGCCACTTGGATACGCCGACCAATCACGTCATGTCACCACATCTGCTTGTTGAACCTCACCGGCAGCGTCTTGGCGCGATACAGCATCTCCCCTCGCTTCCATTCCCTCGCCTCCTCCTCTTCCTCCTTCTGCTGCACAACCAACCCGTCACCGCATCTTGCTCTCGCCGCCGTCGGATACGAATCGTTGTCGCACGGGTACAACGAGAGAGACTCCCCCGCGCCGGTGCGTGTGGAATCGACGACACCGGCCCAATCGTAACCGTCACCAGCAGTCCACGGGCCCCTCGCGAACGGCGCCCCCCTGTCTTCGTCGGCCTCGAACGAGGCCGCCGTGCTGCTAGCAAGCGACGCGGTACTGCTACGGCTGCCGCCGCCGCCGCTGCTGCTGCTGCTACTGCTGCTGCATGAGTGCGTGCTCGCGTCCAAGTCGGGAAGAGGCACCGGGCAGTGCTCCGCCGCCCCGAGACTGACGATGACTCGACCGCCGCCGCCGCCGCCGCCGCCAATCTGTCCTCCTGGTGGCGGCGAAACCTGGCGTCTGGGTTCCATCGGCGATTGACCCCAACCGATCTCGCCCGGTACACCCCACTCTTCTACGAAACTCGGCGCTGCCGGCGCCATGCATGCCGGCGTGTTGATCACGGATGGCGGAGACGACGGCTGCAAGGCGGTCTTCAGCAGCTCCCCGGACTCCCGGGAGACCATCACCACGGGGAACGGCGCCCGCATCTCCTCCTCGCCGCAGGCCGAGGACGCCATCGGGAACACCTCGTGGCCCGGCCGGTCGTTCGCCACCACGACCCCGACGCAGCGGCAGTAACCGCCGCCGCCGCGGCCGCCGCCGCCGCGGCCGCCGCCGCCGCCGCAAGCCGCTGGACCTCCGCTACTCGAGAACCCGCCGGGGGCCGCCGGCATCGGCGCCGGCGCCGCTGCGACCGCTCGGGCGGAC